AATTGCAAGTTTAGTCTAAACTTTGAAATTATCCTAATGTCATCCTTAAGTTTGTATTTCATTATGAATATGGTCTTTGATCCATAAAAAATGACTTCAAATTTGTAGTGAACTTACGATTTTGTTTAAAGCACAAGGACTATGTGTCTGTGTTTGTAATGAAATGCACGCTTAAAGACGATATTGATACAGTTTCAAAATTTAGACTGAATTTACAACTTTAGTTAAACCTAGGGACCAAATTTGTAATTTACTCTAAGAGTAAAAATAAAAATAAATGACGTCACACTTTAGGGACGTCTCGAGTTTAGGTCACAAAAGTTTTCACATAAATCTATATATTTGATTCCTTATTTAATGTATGTTTGATAGGTATGATCTGTCACAACATACCTCTATTGATAATTGTATGCATTTTGCCATTGTATATTGTGCCATGTTTTCAATATTTCATATAATAACAAGAGTAATATAATAAAAGTCATTATATATGTTTTTTCTTGTTGCATTTTAACCTTATTTTATTTTAGTCAATAACAAGTCATATATCTTTAAAAAAAATTCCACTGCAATCCTATATTTTCAGTTGAACATGTATTAAAACTGATAAAAAAAATTATTAATCTACATGACATCATATATTTACTAAACTAGCATCTAACTTTCTAAAATGAATTTTTATTTGCATACATTCTATGCATATAACCTTGCTAAACAAGCAAATATGGAGCCATTTCAAGAAGCATAATGTTAATTTATAGATTAGATATTATGATGTCATGTAGATAAGTAAGCTATATTAGTTTTAACACGTTACAAACCATAAGGAAAATAAAGGGTCACAGTAGTTGTGGTGGAAAATTCTTTGAAAATACATGATTTTTATTAACCAAAATAAAATATAATAGTTAAACTGGAAAATATCGAAATATAATGACTTTTACATATATTATCTTAAATAATAAAGTTGGTCTTTTGAAAGAAAGAATATGCACTTGTATCTTTTTCTTTTAAGCCACTTTTTTGTTAAATACTTTTCTTCACTTGTTCATAACATATCAATATATCATTGACAAATCCAGATTCATAGTTAAGATTTATAAGTTATATAAAATGTTTTAATGAGTGAAAAGCATGAAATCTAAGAATATAACTGACGTGGTAGATTGGAGGTCAAGGAAACAAAAACAAAATGACACTTAGCATGATCTACAACAAGATATGCTCAAAATCTTATTTAAGTTTCGGTTTCTTTTGTTCACTTTTGGTTCAATGAATCTTTAAGGGTCCATTATGTTGACTTTACAATAATATGAATATATAATAGAAACATTAAACTTGCCACTTGATAATAATTCATTTCTTAAATACTTTGAGGGTTTAGATGTACATTCTCAACATATGGATATGCATGATTAATATAATTGAACTCAATTAAATATGCACTTCATTCATCATTGAAACATGATTAAGGAGATTGTTTGACTAATAATCAAATGCACTAAACGTCTTTTAACAAAATATACTTAAAACAAGTTATAACTTAAATCCATATGAGAGATATTTCATTTAATGGTTGTTTTTTTTTACTCAAGCTAGGAGTTCCAAAAGGAATGTTCATGGTTCAAAACCAGACACACCTAGAATATTATTAGTGCTCTGCGATTTACGCCTCACGTGATAGGCTTTGGGGCGGATTTTGTGTGGACTGTCCAGAAGGAACAGTTTATCATTTTAACAACTAACTAAACTCTTCGATCAAAACATTCTAAACAGTACAATATATTTTCTAGAGTAACAAAAAAAAATTATTAAATTTTATAAAATCAAATTTATAAAAAAAAATAGTAAACCGCATCATTTGAGCGGCTTATATCAACCCTCCTTAAGGCCCACGTAGGAGGCCAATTATGAAACACTAACAATATTTTGGATGTGTCAGAATTTGAACCCTAAACATCTTGTCTGGAATTTCGCAACTCGTACACTAAGCTCCATTATAGGGGCATAGAGTCAAAATAAGTACCCATTCAAAAATCTTATATTGAGATCTTAAAGTTTCTTTGAAGGTATATAGAATAGATGAAACTTTTTTTTTCTCTAACGAATACACACTTGTATTTTTTTTGAGGGGGTGAATATGTAAATTTGAAGCATGCATTATTGGGAACTCCATGACTCCAAGACGTAGAAACAAGCATCTGGTTGGAGTCAGACTGAGATGCAAAATGTTGGAAAGAAGTGATTATTTAAACAACATTTACAGGGATGAAGGCTTCAAATTGTTTCAAAAAGTAGAGACAGATCTTATAAATCTAGAAACTGTTTTTATGATCATGGAATTTTGTTTTATACTTGTAAATCTTCATGGTTCAAAGAACGGACAAGACACCAAGATGAGAATCAAATCATAGCAGTTTCTAAGGTTTGATTTTATACATGTTTTAAAAAAAGGTTATTTGTTTGTTTTTATACGGGAATTTGGTGGGTTATGAACGGTTGTGTTGTTTTACTAGTGATGTTTATATATTGGTAGTTAATGTTACAAGAAAACTTTTCAAAAGGAATATCTAGTGGTTACATGAAAATTAGAAGGGATTATAACGTATAAGGAATCAAGATTTTTGTCATGTGATGTGTTGTGAATGGATACAAAATTACATATACATTGTCTGAGCGTGTTTGGCACGAAGCGTTTGGGAGCGTTTAGGAGTTTCTAGCTTTTAGCTTTTGACAAAACGTTTTATTTGACAGTACGAGCATTTAGCTTTTTGTTTAAAAAAACAATTCAAATCTAAAAGCTACTTAATGTAGCCTTTAATAAAACGTTACTGATTTTAAAATCAATTTCCAAAACTATCCTTAAAAATATATTTATATATTCATTTTTTTTAAAACAATTATCTTTTTATTTAATCTTACATATTTCAAAAGCTTTCGGTTATTTTTGTCAAACACTCATATAACAAATAAAATGTACAGCTTCCAGCTAACAGCTACTTTTGCCAAACACACCTTATGTATCGACTTAAATATCTAAATCATTGTGATTAATAATATATATACATTAATAAGTTTCATTAATAATAATAATAATAATAATAATAATAATAAATAAAACTAGTGCTACTTGTAGATAAAACATGTCATGATGACCTTCGAAACTATGGTATTCTAAAAAAGAAAAGAAATAATAAATCGGAAACGGAATTACCTACAAGCGTTGGACGTTTGTTTTGTTAGCTATATCATTTATGTTATGTTTGGTGGACTAGCTGAAAAGCTAGTTGTTGGCTAAAAAATAGATGAGAGCTGATAATCTAGCTCATAAAAAATTACGTTTGAAAAAATAACTAATAAGCTAGCTAAAATATGTTAAATGACAAAAAAAATGGCATATAGAACAGTGAGTTTTTTTATAATTTATAAAGGGTATTTGGGAAAAAATTTAAATATGTCAATAAGCTCATTGAAACACTAGTTTGGGTCACTTTTTAATAGGCTAACTTATAGTTTTTTTGATTTGCCAAACAAGATAACATAAGAAAGCTTGAAAAATAAGCTAGATGTTATGTGTCAAACATAGCCTTAGTAATCTAAAGAAACTTGAGACATTTAGAGGTGTTGGAAATTTTGGGTGAAAAGGGGGTATGTTGATGATCAAAATTGCTTGGATAGTTATAAGTCATGTTATCAGTTTCCTTAAAAACTATTTTCTCTCTATGCTCGAGAATCCACAATATTTTTGCACAATCATCGTAGAACAAACACTTAAATTCTTACTTCTTAGGCACAAAGAAAGTAAGCAAAGGGGAGTTGTCATCTAAATGTTGTTTAGGTTTCGGGACCACCGCAAGGAGAATTGCCCCTTAACCCCATCCACCCCATGTCAATCTTCGTGTTCGCGATCAAAATCGTCTTATGTAAGTGTGCACTCTGCAAAACATCAAACTTGTATCATATCACAGTTTGACCTGTCTTTGACACTCTCGAATGAATTTCAAAAACACCAAAATGACCGAGTCATACTAAAATCATCAACAAGACATTCATTTTTTTTCTGGGAAAAACAATGCAAATGTTGGAAGTATTTCACATCTACTCAAAAGTAAACTAGCATGGTTATATCAAACTAAGGGAACATTTGGCTCAAAGCAAGAATTTAAAGATAAATGCAATTTAATGTCATTTTCAAGAGATCCCTTGGCATTTAATTGAAAGAGATGGGTCGTATTTAGATATAGGTAGGGCTGCAAACGAGCCGAGCCGAGCCCGAGCCTGGCCAGGCTCGACTCGGGCTCGTTTAAGTTCTAAGAGGCTCGAGCTCGAGCTCGGCTCGATTCGAGCTTCTTGTACTGAGCTCGGCTCGAGCTCGTAAATAATTATACAAGCTCGACTCGGGTTCGGGCTCGGCTCGTTTTTTGTCTGACTTGCCTAAATAAGCTTAAGCTCGGCTCGAGCTCGTTAAGAAGCTCGTTTACTAATACCCTAAATTCCTAATCCACAAATATGTTTTTATTTTAATATATAAAAAAATAAGAAATTATATTATATAAATGCTCGTTTAGGCTCGCGAGCCTAATCGAGCTTAGTGACATAGGCTCGAGCTAGAGCTCGTTTAATAAACGAGCTTAATATTAAGCTCGAGCTCGGCTCGGGCTCGTATAAAATCGGTTTCAAGTCGAGCTTTTAGCGATCCGATCCCGAGTAGCTCACGAGTAGCTTGGCTCGTTTGCACCCCTAGATATAGGATTTAGTGAGGTGTGGGCCAAATTGATCAAATGCAAAAAATAGTTGGATCAAGCTCATTGTTAATTTGTTAGATAGTGAAATGAAAATATTATATTTATACTCTTTGTAATCAAACAATTGTAACTGTAACTATTTGTCACTTTCTTCAAGCATCATTCATAGTTATATATTAAAGTTCAAAAATGAGAGAATATAAGTAAACAATCAACCATTAAACACTTGAAACTTTTTTCTACTCTGCATCTAAACCAATATCTAGTTATTGTAATTAAGAACACGTTTTGTTAAAACATACACATAACATCATTATACAATTTCTCGTCAACAATTTGTAGGTTTCATGTTGCAAAAGGTAAAAAAAAAATTAATAATCTGTTGCTCTTATGGATACAAAATAAAGTTTAAAAAAAAAACATACTTATAGGCTATAGCACCCATATATGCTTCAAAATATATAATTTAAATGGTTTCCACATTCAAGAAATCATTTAAAAGATACCAAAAAAAAAAAAAAAAAAAAAAAATCCTTACTTTGACAACAAAAAAAAAAAAAAGCAAAACACATAGGAACTTAATTCCCCGAAAAACTTCTATCTGCATTGAATAAATATATGACAAATTGTCACTAATTTGTTTATACTATAATAATAAAAAGATGAAAAATCATAAAGATAACAAAAAAAAAACAATATTTTACCCTTTTTTTTAACGTTTGCGTTCTGTTTTCCACTTGTATACTGGTCTAGAACTAGGGCAAACAATCTCATCTTCACGCAGCCTTCTTTTTTTACCCTTTTTCTACATATACAAATTAATATTTACTTCAATGGTTAAAAAAATAAATAAATAAACAAAGTACTTTCATTGATTTCTTCATTATAAGATTCGGCTTTCATTTATTCCTAGAGTAATTTACTGAAATCGTCCTTGTCGTTTGGTCGAAATTACACATTTAGTCCCTATCTTTTTTTTTACACTCGGACAGCCCTATGGTATTTTTTTTGTTACTAGTTTCGTCCCTACCAGACATAAAAAGACTATACTGCCCTTGTCTCTTTCCTTTATTTATTTGTTACAATGTTGTGTTTTAAAATAGGAAAACTCTATAAAAGTCTTCATATTTTAGCTTCATAATCGATTTAGTCCTTATATATTTTTTTTATTCAATTAAGCCCCATAAACCAGCAATTGTATTATTTTGGACCCTTTTACCTCGCCTGTTGGTCATCCCACTTTCAAAAATTACACTCTTGGCCCAGATTTTAAATTTTATTACAAAATTGGTCCAAGTTTTACACTGTTGGCCCAGATTTTAAATTTTATTACAAAATTGATCCAAGTTTTTACACTTTTGGCCCAGATTTTAAATTTTATTACAAAATCGGTCCAAGTTTTACACTTTTGGCCCAGATTTTAAATTTTATTACAAAATCGGTCCAAGTTTTACACTTTTGGCCCAGATTTTAAATTTTATTACAAAATTGGTCCAAGTTTTACACTTTTGGCCCAGATTTTAAATTTTATTACAAAATTGGTCCAAGTTTTACACTTTTGGCCCAGATTTTAAATTTTGTTACAAAATTGGTCCAAGTTCTACACTTTTGGCCCAGATTTTAAAATTTATTACAAACTTGGTCCAAGTTTTACACTTTTGGCCCAGATTTCAAAATTGTGTTACAAATTCATTCTTAATTTAGTTTTTTTACATCTTTTTTTTTAAATTTTGTTTGGAATATGTTGTTTTTGCTTTATAAAATCATATTTATACAAAAAAAACATCTTTTCACATAAAAAAACCTTCTTTTTTCTATATAAAAACCTTTTTTTAAATACATGTTTGCATTTAGCACATATAATTACCTGTAATTCTTGTTTCATTGCCATTTCATTATAAACTTTCTCCAGTTCTTGAACTCTTCCTCTTCTTGCTTCCAACTCTCTGTAGGAAGCAGCTGTCCTCCTGCAAAAGTAGAAATAATATTTTTTGAAAATTAATTTTTTTTTTAAATATGATCATGTAAAATAATATCATCAACATCAATAAAAAGCAAAAGTAGAAATACTCTATTTTACCTTTTAATTTTACCAGGCAAATCTTCAAAAGCTTGAAATCCACCAGCACTCTTTGTTTCTGATAGTATTCTCTTAGCATCTTCCCTAAAAATATAAAATATTTAAGATTAATGACATAAAAGACCCTATATATTGGGTTTTTTTCCGGATTGAAACCTAAACGTTATTTTTTTTTCTATAAAAGCCCTTGAAATTTTCCATTTTTTTCAGTTTGACCCTTTTAGTAGGTTTACCAGTTTTACTCAATGATGTAAAGGTTTTTTTTTTTAAATAAAGTTGAGGTTGAATCTGAAAAAATGGAAAAATGTATGGGCCAAATCGGAAAAAATGGAAAAATGTATGGGCCAAATCGGAAAAAATAAAAGTGAGGTTTAATCCAAAAAAACAAATATATAGGGTCTTTTATGTAAATAACCTAAATATTTAACTATAAAATATATTTATTGATAGCATAAAGTCCAATTAGTTTTTATTTTTAAAAAAAAAAAAACACTTAAAGAAGTTCAGACCTATCTTCAGCATAATATACATGTCTGTTTGAAGGCTGAGAATCAAGTGAGTGTAGTGTTGCAGTTAGCTTTTCGATTTTCTGCATTAAATGAACATAATTTAATTATATAATACTCTCAAATATACAAAAAAGAAAAAAGGAAAAAAAAAAAAAAATTACTAACCTTTTTCTCAGATTGAACTTTCTGCAAGATATAACCTATATCTTGTGACTTCATCAACAGGAGTTCTTCTTGAGTGTATTTGTTTGGGTCACCTCTGTAGAATATAAACAAATCAATTTATTGGTTTTTGCTTTTCTTTTTGTAAAAAAAATGGAGGTGGGGTGTAGAAAATTACGCCTGTTTATGTACTCCATCAACAGTCTTGGAGTTGATCATCTTGAAGTAGAATTCATCTGGATTCTTGAATGCTGCCTTTTCCTTGAGTTTCTGTTATGAATTTTTAGTAATCATGTCATAATTTTAGTTATATTTTGAATAAGAAATTAAGAATAAGATTATAATATTTCCAAAGAAAAAGTAGTTTTAATTTTGCTTACTTGTAAGTAATCCTCTTTTTTATGAAAGGCCTTTGCACGAACAACATAGTCCTTGTGTTTCTCAAGAAGTCCAAACCTTTTCCTTTCTTTTCTGAATGTAATTCAATTCATTAAAAAAAATGTAAGAAGAATATGTAACAAGAAAGATGAATTGAAGGATGAAATGTCTAATGTCACTTACGGTTGAGATCGTTCCTTGTGGGCCCGTCTATGAACAGCATGCTTTAAGGATGACATTTTCAAGAATTAGCTGCAAAGAACAATGGAGGACAGAAAGGGTTCTTTAAATTGTAACCCTTTGAAGAAAAAGATTCAGAATTTAATGTTATGATTAGTGAAGTCTAATTGTAAGATTGAAACAATGGGAAAAGTGTTAGAAGTCTATAGTTGTATACCATACTCAATTAGTGAGTAAACTTGAATCAATTGAGCAAGTTATAGCCTTGGTAAATAAGAAATTAGAAGATCGCTAAAGTAAAGTTAAGCCTAGCTGCAATATCAAAGCGAGATGATGAAATCAAAGAATTGAATACCCAGATTAATCTCAGGACGGATGGAATACTGATATTGAAAGGCTGAAAACGGAAGTTAGGGAAAAGTATGAGTTAGTTGATGATCTGAATCAGAAGCATGATGATCTAATGCCATGTACAGATGAACTGAAAACGATTTCAGAAAAAAAGGAGAAAAACCCGATCTCTGTTAAGAAAAACTGATTACCTGAATCTGCCGGAGTCGATGGCGGAGGAGTGTGTACGAGAGAGAGATGAGAGGGAAAAGGTTGGGGCCGACGATGATTAGAAGAGAAGAGTGAGGAGGCGGACGTGAGGAAAAGAATATTAGGGATTATGAAAACTGCGACCAATTTTTTTCTCAAAAGGTTCAACACTATGCCAACCTTGAACTTCTGAGAACGATGAGTTCAATATTATGAAAAATTGAATCTGTTTGGAGATTATAAACACTAACTACTCCAGTATTTCATGAAGAACAAATACAAATCACAAGAACACCATTGTTTTCGCACTAATTAACAATAAATTTGACGATTTATTAGGGCAAACAAGTGAAAGTAAGTAAAAACAGCCACATAAAACTTAGGGAAGCTCAAATGAGCCAACGAGTAGCGTGCGTACCGGAAGTATGAGCGAGAGAGACGGCCGCGAGGAGGCGACAAGGGCGCACGGCGGCGAGGAGAAAGCTTATAAGATGATAGTTGGGACTGGAGAAGGAGAAGAAACTGTGTTTTATATGTAGTAAATATGTCGTAATTAAAGGTTAGTCCCTGTAGTTTAGAACTTGTTACAGTTTACTAACCCAAAGTTTTGCTTTTCCCACTTAAGCCGGTGGGTGTCATGTCCCATAAAACTCGTGAGTGTCAGTCATATCACACTTTTATTTTTTATTTTTATTTTTTTTTAATTTAATAAAAATGACATTCTATAAAAGTAATAAAAGGAAAATATTTCATTTATTTAATTAAAACTATTACAGTGATAAAAAGATAATTTAAATAAAATGACTACATAGATAATACGACGATTAAAATAAAACGACTATAAAATGCGACTAATTATTTTTTGAACGCGATTTGCTCCGAACGGTACTTGAGGACTATTTGGATTCATTTTTTGAAAGAGGTTTGAGGTATTTCTGGATTGAGAGTGTTGTATATGATGTATGTGTGAGGTATGAGTGATAATTTATAGGTGAATTGTTAGGAAGAAAAAAAATAAAAAAATAGAAGGAATTTGAAAAGGCGACCGTTGGCAACGGTCACAAAGCCAAACTCCCACATTTAAGCCACGGTAAGATCTTGATGCGCAGTGCGGTGAACAGGTGTGGCAAAGGCACATTGCGGCGTCAAATCATCAACGGTAGCGTGTGGTTTGTGGTGCACCTACCTGCCTTAAGAAACTTAGGGGTAAATATGTCGTAATTAAAGGTTAGCCCCTGTAGTTTAGAATTTGTTATATTTTACTACCCAAAGTTTTGCCTTTCCCACTAATAAACTTAGGTGTTGCTTGTTTACCTCTTAATCAGAGGCATATCTAAAATATGTCCAATTAAGAGCGTTTGTCTACCTCTTATTTTTAGATCCTACTATGAAAATAACCTCTTATTTGGTCAGACTTTTAGGCACATTTAAAAAGAAATTTAAAAAAAAAAAAAGGCACGCCTTCCCTTTTTTGCCTCAAACCTACTCATCAAACGCATGTATTATTTCTCTTCTCGCAACTACTTAACAAAACTCCCCCCTCTTCTTGTATCTTCCCTCATCGACGTCTCCTACTGCTAATCCTATCGGACATTGCACACTGTCGACGCCAGCACGTCGGCGTCAGCAGATACTGTCGGAAGAACGCTTGCAGAGTACGTCATCGTTGCTGCTCCTTGTTCTCGATAATCATTTTTAGAAATTGGTGTTCTTTTTTTGATTTTTCTTATTGAAATTGTCGCCCTCTAGCCCCATCCCCTTGAATCGGAACTGCAGGTCAAAATAGAACAAGAACATTAAGGAAGTAGACATGACGTCGCGTAAATTGGGTTACGAAGTCTGACAGGGGAAAGAGAAACGATACTCTCTTTCTCTCTCTCTCTCCCCCGCCTCTCTCCCTCTCGTAGGCGGAGGAATTCGCACGTTAACACCTCTTATAATAGTGTAATGGTGTTGGTGTAGTAGTGTTGTGATGAGGTGGCACACCTTCTACGCATTTGTATATCGAATAGCCTAAGAGTTGGTTTTGATATTAGTTTATATACTTCGACTTTTGATTTTGAGTTTATATTCTCTCTTATTGACTATGACTTGACTTTGATTTGTATTTGAATTATGTCTTAAGATCTTTGTTTGGAGTTTGATTACGATATGCATGTATAGAAAGAGCAGACCCATTGAAGACGAGAGTAAGGTACTGTGACAACCCGAAATATTTTTGCCTTCTAGCCTTGTTAAGGGTCATTCTATTGGGTTTTAAGCCTAGTACACTTGAGGAATGAGTGTTAGAATGTACCTGCTAGAGACACTGTGCAACATTCAAGCCTTAGCATCACCAAAAAGGAGTTCACGGCCAAGACTCATGAGTTTACGGCCATAAAGTCATGGTTGGCCGTAAACTCCCCTATAAGTCCCCATTTCCTTCAACTTTTCCTTCATTCTCACACTTTCAACTCAAGAACACTTGAATTCTCTCTCAAGTATCATCGAGATTTTCACTCCCGATCTTCACAAATGTAAGTGATTCTTCCCTCTAGTTATTGTTATCCTTCTTTCTCATGAATCAACCTTTGATTTCATCCATTGAAATCAACATTTTGCTAGATCTTCATCTTTCACCAAGAACACACACTTGTTCTTGGTGGCCGAAAACTCTTCTAAGGGCCTCAAAAGTGTGAGTATTCCATCTATCTCCTAGTTAGCCATGTTAGACACTAGATCATAGCCTTGAAACATCACCAAACTCAACATCAATGAGAGTTTACGGCCAAAGAGCATCTCCCTTGGGCGTAAACCCTTGTTTTGGTCAAGTCTTGAACCTTAAACACTTCTAGACACTAGTTATCCTTTGGGACACTTGAACCTTTAAAACTCATTAACTTTAAGACCCAATAAGACACCATTTGGAGAGTTTACGGCCATACACTTTTTAGTGTGGCCGTAAACACCTCAACACCTTCTAGAAAGTTGGTTTTGCTCACCTTCTTGTAGAGCAATAGTCCCTCAAGCTTCCCAACCATTCAAACACCCTCTTATGCACCTTTTACCATGAGTTTACAGCCATAAACCCATGGCCATAAACACCATTTCTTGGCCTTAAACATCCCTTAGATGAATCACATGTGATTCCGACACTTGGTCAAAGTGTTTCCTAGTCCCGTAAGGTGTTTTCTTGCATTTGGTTGCTTCTAAACCCTATATTTATGTAAATATATGCCATTATATGTCATTTAGGACTCGTTAAGTCTCGGGACTTCATTCGTGGAACTTCTCATCCTTACGCGCATATTCGTTTGAATCGCCCACATAAGGTGAGTTCATACCCTGTAATCAATCTTTTAAACTGTTTTAAATGCTTTTAAGGGGGGGAATACAAGTTGAACACAATGTTAATTGTGTAATTGTTTGTTATAAACATTTATAAAAGATTACTTATGTCATTTATAAGTGGTCAAAACATTTCAAAAACTCTTTTAAAGTTATGCTACTTTATAGTTTAACAAAACTCCATTTTTAAAGTATCAGCATAACTTAGTAGAAAAATGAGTCTTTTCAACAACAGTTCAAGTAAATTACTAGTAAACTATTAGGGGTATAGTTTAGGGGTTCATTTCATGCTAGATACTAGAGAATACTAAGATACTATAACAAGAGAAGATACTAAGATACTATAACAAGAGGATACTAAGATACTATAACAAGAGAAGATACTAAGATACTATAACAAGAGGATACTAAGATACTATAACGAACTTACTAAGATACAATAATTATAATGTGAGATACTATTTCATGGCGCGGCATACAGTGCAGAGTCATGTTTTGTACCAGAGTCTCCTGGAGGGAGAGCGTGAATTTGTGTATAGATCTATACGGGATTGACCATCCCACACCTTGTTGCTAGCTACAGTGGGACCTGCAGGTCTATGGGTGACGAATGTCATATCATTTCGATGTCTCGTACGTCGTGTTATACTAGTCAAATCAAGCATGGTAACAATAATATCACATTTTACCTTAAATAAACTAATAAGTTAAAGGTAAACAGTACTGCAGGATGTCAGTTCATAAGACAACTGAGTGCTTATATTTTCCTAATACTTTCATTTTGTGACAGTTCCACTTGAAAGTTAATACAAACTATTTTCAAGTCAAGATAGTTATAAGCTAGGGAAAACTTACATTTTACAACCGACACACAGAACAGTCGAGTCTAGTACATTCAGTAGAAGGGGGCCTATAATGCTAACTTTATGATTCCTTAGTGTATGCATTCAGGAATATATATTAATCGGATCCGACAGGTAGTAGGATGTGTGCTTTCCGCTTCATTTCCTGTTCCTTGTTTGGTTGTGGGCTTAGAGCAGATACACCCAACCTACAATCTATCTGATCTTAGATATATATATGTTTCCGTATACATTAAATAATCATAAGGGGTACCAGGTATGGGCCAGGTCATAGGACACTAATTCAATACACCGTTTTCTAGTACAAAACATACTTTTCAAATGAAAAACTTTTCGAATACAAAACTAGAAACTTAACCAGTAAAGGGTTTAATCCATTTTATTAAACCGGTATAACTTAAAGGACCTTAGGTGGTTAATTCTATAATACCTTAGTTTATACACCAGGGTTATATATAATTAATATCTGATAGGTAGTTGGATGCGTGCCTTCCGCCTCATTCCCTGTTCCTTGTTTGGTCGTGGGCTTAGGGAAGATTCACACAATTAACTATCTGTTCGATATTAGATTATATATAACTAGTATAAACTAAGTGATTATAGAAGGAACTACTGTGGTTATCATTTTATTATAAGAAATAAGGGTTTTCTTAAAGGATATTTTCACCAAATATAAAGGAACTATTACAGTTAACTCCGTGAGTACCAAGTGAATACGCAGGGGTTATATACAACGATGATCTAACAAACAATGAGATGTGTGTCTTCCGCCTCATTTCTTGTTCCTTGTTTGGTTGTAGGCTTAGGGCAGATACACACAACCGATTGTTTGTTTACTCTGGGTTTTATATAACTTGTATCCATTTAATACTCATAGAAAGGACTGTAGAGTCATTTTTACTTATCTTTCATCAAAGCAGGAAATATAGGATTTTCTGGAGGAACAGGCAAACTTTTCTAAACAGAACTTACTACAACTTACTACAACTTTCTTACTACTTACATTACATCACTAAAATCTTATGAACTCACCAGCTTAAATGTTGATCTACGCTTTCAAAATAACTTGTATTCTCAGGAGACCAGTAGACATGTACGCGCTCTGGGATTCAGAAGATGGAGCAGTATAGCTTCATGTCTTCTTGTTATTTGCTATGTATTCTATATTATGTGAATCACATACTTTGTAAATACTTTCTTTCTAATGAAATGGTTGTTTATTACTTTGCTTACTATGATGCATGACTTGTGATACTAAACATGACGTCCTCCACCCCAGAACGTTTCCGTCGTTCCGGTTTTGGGGTGTGACAGATTGGTATCAGAGCATTGTTTATAGTGAACTAAGTATATCAACCGATAAAAGATATACAACTATAAATACAATGGGGTCGAAGTGCTCTGGATAAGAATATATTTTAAATATATAATGATACCTTATAAAAGTATACATACTTGCTTATACATATATACCTACTAGAACAAGTATCACAAGAAGAACAGAACATAAGAAGTTAAAGGTTGAACACTATGGTCAAACCTAGACAGTTATGTAATCATAGCTAGGATCAATATAGCCTGATCAACTATATTCATTCGAGATGTGACCGATATGTGTTTGGGAGTGATGTGATGTTGCAACGGTCTTAAAACTTACCTAATACTAGTCAAGAGAATTCTAGATCAAGTACATAGAGTTAGAATACTATAGGAGTATTCTATGATACTATAACGCGATAACAAGTTTAAAACATACCAAGTTCATTACATTAAAATACTATAGGAGTATTTTAGGCACTATATAAATAACTTATGTGATAACTTAAAAGACCCTTACGGATAGGTCTATAATCTTACAATGTATTCTTCCACGGTTATATATAATTGAGAATTTATAGACTTAGAATTTGTGATCTAGGCTTCACTACCTGTTCCTTGTTTGGTTGTGGTTTTGCAGTAGGATCACTTATTCGAAGGTCTATTTAGTCTTAAGTTATATACAACATGTATACATTGTGCAATTATAGGAGGACTCTGTAAGGATCACCCCATAATGTTTCACTTAGGTGCTGTTTGATTTTCTGAAGCAAAAATTCATGAAGTCTGCGGACCACCTCTACAACCCTCTGCAGTAGAAGATGTGGACCAAACGGCTGCAGAGTGTAATAAGAAGCGTGTTTGTTTTTTTAACATCTGCATACTGCTGCAGATATTAAAAAATTAAAATAAACTAATTTTTTAAACCGAAAATAGTTTTTTTAATACGTAAAATTTAATAATGTATAACATTTCGACAACAATTAATGATATTTCAGTAAAAAATAATGATATTTCAACAAAAAATAAAGATATTTTAGTAAAAAATAATGATATTTCATTAATAAATTATCATTATTGAATATAAAAAAACGAAAAAAAAATTCAACAGGAATAAACAAAAAAAAGGAAAAAAAAAAGGTGAAATAAAATTTCAA